GGAGGAACAACAGACTCATCGTCATACTGCACTCGAACGAGCCGAACGTGAGCGGTAAGGTAGCGAATAAAACAACGAGGGTCCGGATGAAGCACAAACAAAGTTCAATAACGGGACTGATGTGCAAATATGCAAAGGAGGTGGAACTGTAGTGATGATGAATTTACGAAGCAAAGGAGCAATTCACAACGACGTTTTCCCATTTAGATAGACGACCCGCGGTTAACCTAATCCCCCTGTGTTTGCTACACGTTTGGTGACAGTCGTGGGACGGTAAAAATAATGCCGAAAATGGTCAAACGGTTAAAATTGAGAGAAGAATAAAAGGTCGACACCAACTCGGTGCTCCTCCAAGCACTATCGGCATTACGCTCAGTAACATAAAACGTGGCCGCGCAGCAAATCCCGGCCCTTACGAAATTTCACATTGGTGATGACTATGACCGGTAAGAATTCCAAGTCCGGCGATACGTACGGATGTTGGAGCCCATTGAACGGCAGTACATACTGCTATCCCTAGTAGACGAAGCAATGTACGACGAGATTCACCAAGAAGTCCCTGAAGACGTCTCAGATGAAACCTTTGACACAATACGGTCCAACCTAGTCCCGCGCCGGCTGAAGAAACAAGACCGAGAGGCCTTCCGCTACCGCACACAACGACCCGATGAGACGGCTCAGCGATTCACAGCAGAACTACGAAAATTAGCAGCGCTGGCATTCCCCGAATGTGAGACTGCGTTTCAAGAATTGATGCTTCTGTATCAATTCGCCGATGGCGTACGCTCAGCTGCTGTCCAGAACTCGTTCGCCAAACGACCAGCCAAATCGCTAAAAGAGGCAACTGATTGTCCCGTTTAGCTGGAGAAACCACCCGTGGCTACCGACTTCCCGCCTAACCTGAATGTCCTAACCAATTCACCGTCCGACCTCAGACAACGACCTAGGCAGTATGCTGGATGCCGACATCAGCCGTGGGATCGATGTGGATGGCCCTGGGTTGCTCGGGGGAACACGGGAGACCACAGTTCAAGTAAGTCACGCCCAGATGCTCAATTGGCTTTTGTTTGTTCCATGCCACTGATCTCATTACCTACAATCATAGTAAGTATTAATGGTGATAATGGTAGAATGTTGATGGATACGGAGTCTGCAGTAACCTTAGTCCGAGACGCTGCTACTATACCCCGGCAACGCATATCATCAGGACGGCAGCTCTGGGCAGCGAACAACACAAAGATGGCAACATCAGGTTCCACCGCGATAACCTTTCAAATAGGCATGCAGACTCTGACCGACAAAGCGATGGTGGTACGCGACCTACCATGGGACACCATTCCAGGAATCGACTTCCTCAACGGTCACGCGCGCATCGTAAATACGATACAGAGCTCATTGTGCATCAATGGTGGAAGTTAACCATATGACCTAAAGGCCCCTAAAGCCCGTGAAAGAATGGTCGGGTGCACTGCCAAGGCACGACGTAAACAAGATAAAATAGACCAATTCCTGTCCACCGTGAGACCGGTATCTCAGCTAGAAGGAAACCAGCTACGAAAGGTCGTCCAGAAAAACTGAGACGTCTTCAAATGGTCTAAAGCGCTTTGGGGCGCATGGGAACAGTCACTGATCGACTCAACACAGGTAGTTCCACTTCGATTAAAGAGACACCCCACTGGGTCCCAGTGCACTACAGGGAGCAGGTAACCAAATTGCTCACCAAAACGCAAACTAACAAAGTCTTCCGGCCATGAACGTCACCATGGGTAGCACCTGTGGTAATAGTAAAAAAGAAGGACGGGCCTATGAGGTTGTGCGTTTACTACCGCCGATTGAACAACATAATCAAAAAGGACTCGTTTCCATTATCAATTATTGACGAAATGCTTGAAAACGCATCGGGCTCCTCTGACTTCTCTACGTTGGACCTCGCATCGTGATATCGGCAGGGTGAATTACATCCCAAAAACCAGGAGAAGACGGCGTTTGTCGTTCCCAGCGGCCTATACGAGTTCGAAACTATGCCGTTTGGTAGAACAAATGCGCCGCCAACATTCCAGCGCCTGATGCAGCTCCTACTAGAGAACCTGATACCAAAGAAATGCTCCGTATACCCTGATGACATAATAGTCTACAACCAAACGCTCAAAGGGCACCTGGATTCTCTATGTGAAATGTTTAAAATTCTCAGAGTGGCAGGGCTCAAAATGAAACTAAACAAATGCTGTTACTCTGCCCCCAAGTGAGATATCTGGGGCATATGATCAGCCGGGAAAAAGTACAAAACGACCCAGAGAAGGTGGTAAAGGTTAGCAGCTGACCTACACCAGACAATGCCGAGGAAGTCAGAAGCCTTTTGGGCTTAGGTTTCTACTATTGGCGGTTCGTTTTGCTAATATAGCTGCGCCATTGCACCGACTGACGGACAATAAAGGTTGTTTGACTTGGAGCGTCGAATGTGAAAATGCCTTCCAAATGCTCAAAAACCTCTCACACAAGCCCCCCTTACCGGCATCACCGGACATCTCACCAAGTGCACACAACCTGGAAACCGATGCCAGTGACCTAAGCATAGCAGCAGTTTTGTTACAGCGACAGGGTAGCAATGAATGCATGATCGTATATGGAAATCATTGCCCCAATAAACACGAAAGAAATCACTGTGCCACCAAGAAGGAAATGCTGTCCCTGGTATACTTCCTTAATAATTTCCGCCACTACATAATGGGAAAAGAATGTATGGTACGCACCGACCACCAGGCCCTAATATGGCTACAACGTTCAAGGACGCTGCTGGCCAAGTTGCACGATGGCAAGAATGATAAAAAGATTATCAATTCCAATATGTGCTTCGTCCAGGGTCCAAACATCAAAACGCAGGCGTCTATGTCTAGGAGACTGTGCAGAAATCATGGTGAGTGCCCCACTTGTTCAAATGCTCACATTATCGCTACATCGATGCAGGCTGCACCCTCAGACGCATGGAAAAAACGACAGGCATCCGACCCAAACCTGAAAATGACCTATCAGCGTCTAGCCGAAGCAGGTGAAAGACCAAACAAGGACGAAGTTATAGACCAGCGTTGGGAAAGTATGTGCGTACGGAATTTATGGAAACATTTACAAATTCTGCATGAAATCATGTATTACCAGTATGGCCCCACACATACCCGACGAATAGTGGTTCCACATACGGAAGTAAAGACGGTACTCAAAGAAGCACATAGAGAGCTATGACATGCAAGTAAAAGGATGGTGCTGGCAGCCATACGGCAACGGTTTTGGTGGCCTCAACAGATAAATGATCTGGTGCGGAGCTGAGCCACTACCCAAGGTAGATGCAGCTACCGAAGCCAAAGCTATTTGTCGTGTGTGGATCACACAGTGGGGCGGGACGCGCCGCTATAAGTATATACAGACCAAAGCTCTAACTTCGAGAACCTGTGTCAACTGCTCAAAAGTAAGAAAACACGCAACACTCCGTACCACCCAAAAGGCAACGGATAAGGGGAATGGAAAAATTGAACGATAAAGGAGCTACTGAAAAAAATCGTTAACCGCCAAATTACCAGACTCTGGGATTGAGCCTTGCCGTGGTGCTTCTTACAATTACTATACTTATCCACTGTGAAACTCGTAAACTGCTGAAAACTCACCTTTTGGGTGCATGAAGCTTCTCTTGACTTGACATGACTTGACATTCGGGACCGCCCCGTCCAACTAATGTTAAACAACTTACCGTTACTTTGGCAGCATTTTATCTCTGCAAAATAAGCCAGAAATGAAAAGTAGTCTAGTTAGGCTCTTAACTGACGAGGGAGGGAAGAGGAAGCATGCATATTATCGCTAAACCTGATGCCGAAATTTCAAACCAGCCAGATTGTGGAACGAGCACAAGGCCTGAAAGGTAGCCTCGACAAACTGATACTTAAAAATCGGGTATAAATTAGTTATGCTACGGCAAAATGGAGAAAATATGGATAAAACGAAGAGACAGAACGAAAACAGTAGAATGGAAAACGTGTTTGTGTAATGGAGAAACTCAGTTTAGGAGGAGAGACGAAGGTCAACAGAGCACATTTTAGTCCAATTAACACCGACATCATTTAAGTGGAAAGTCTCAAAGAGGGTCCATAGACATCTACTGACGTTAGGATGAAAACATCGCTTTTCGGTTAGAGTCGTGACGACATGGGTTGGTTGGGGAATGTTACAGATCTGCTGTTGAGTTTCTAACATTTCGTCGTTTGGTGTTCTATCCTACAAGGGTTGTGTATATGAAAAGGAAAGAAACAGAACTTCAAAGTAGCTCTTGTTGGAGTTGATCGGTAACAGCAAACAAAAATGTCAAGAATGAAAAATGTTTTGTTTTTAGAAAAAGCAGTGCGGTTAATGAGTAACAATATACTTTGCGTAAATGTTCCTTATTTATGTTTGGAGTTAGCTATGAGCAGAAATAAAAAATTAAGAGTTTTTTAAAAGAAAAGAAGAAGAAGAAAAACATTTGGTAAGTTGACAGAAAACTGTGTTCACATTGGGAGCGTACTGGTTTACAAACTTCGCCATCGCGGCGGTAGTGCTTTACTCTGAACTTATAATGATAATAATAATAACGGTATATTTCACAAAGCCCGTGAAGTATACTAATGCGCATGATCAAATGTACAAAAATGTAAAAATGAGGGTGGAAACAAAAGTTAACAGTACAAAGAGTGTAAGAGCGTGATTTTCAAATGGGGTACGGAAGATATCGTAAACGTGAATTGCGGTGAAACGAAACACAAAGCGGACAAGGTCATATAATGGAGTACCGGGGGTGATATGTTATTAGACGTAAAATTCACAGTATTTGGATCAAAGTTATTTTGTCTGGGTTTTAGAGGAAGGATTTTCATAGATCAATCATTACAAACACCTTCGCTCACTTAGCCTCGTTTTGATCGCCATTGCAACGCCTGAGGAACACGAACAACATCAACGCGCTCCAATCGCATGCCCGACACAACATGGTTTCATCACCCACTTCATCCTCCTCCGTCTGGTATCTTACCTGCTGAATGTCTCTAAACTTCAGCCAGGTTCTCTCTAGCTTTTCTATTTTCATACTTACTTCCTTCACATCTTGTCCTCGACGAATCTGTTTTGACGCTTCAGAGCCAAATCAGAATCACTATTTCTATTCCAGTTAAGGTTTAGGAACCCCGTTTGAGCATTTTCGCTCAAATGGTGTCGGTGCTACTTGGACTAAAATGTCCTTCTTTTAACCTTGTTTCTTCACTTGAGGTATCCTGCCTCTCCTATCATTTTACTGCAACGTTCTAGGTGTGCACTTATTTTTAGTATTGTTCCGTCGCATGCTCCGTTTACCCCTCTCCCTTTTCTTCTTCAGCTGGGTACTACCCCAGACTTCTGCACATAGCCTCGTTGTTCCAGATTCGGTTTTCTTGGGCCTGCCGAAGGCTTGGGGTCCTCACCCACAATGGACAATTTGGCTCCGGTAATGGTTATTGGGCACGGCTGTTTCCACCGTTTTGACTACATGCGTCCGGGTTCCGGACCAGGTTGAGGATCACACCCCGTGCCTCACCTACATGGTGTTTTAAGGTTAGGTGTCTAGTGTGTAGTCAGTCCCACATTAAAGCGACCAACGCCTAATTAATCCAAATAATCCAAATCACTGCTTGATCGATTGAAGCCTCGAACCCAATGAACCTGCCTCCAAGAGCGAGTTGTATTGCGGCATAGAGTGAAACATGTTCCTTTGCCGACGCATTATTCTGGCTGTACTCCTTCCTTTCTATTCCTATCCTAATGCTTCCACCATCAGGCAGCATTTGTTCCACAGACCGCCTCTCCGTATT